CAGTTCCCTATTTGTGAAATGAATATCTTTCAGCGTTCAGCAAGGATTCAGTGAGGTAATGATAGAAAAATGCCTTATAAATGAAAAAACTCTGGTCTCAGCTGCAGATTGTCCCCCTCAGCTGCACTGTCCCCCATCCACCATCTCCCCTTGGGGGAGGGCTGACTGCATTCCCAAAGCTGCTTATGAAGGTGCCCTTTTCCCCTTCCTCCTAAGAGACTCTGTTCTGTCTCCTCCAATCAGCTGCCTTTCCTGCCAACCTGGATGCCTTGCCCTGACAGACCCCTGCTAAACAGTCCTGTGTCCAAGAGTCCAGAGCCTGGCCATGTTGGGTTTGTCCGCAAACTCCTGGCAGCCTAGCCGCTGATTTATCTCCTGATGCACTCTTTGCCATCTGTTTTTATATTGCTTTCAGCACAAGATAAGTGGTTCCCACACAGCGCTGAGCTTCAGAGATTGCAAAGTTCATGAGTTTGCAGAATTTATGATAAGGCAGAGAATTGTCTTAGCGCATCATTCATGGGCGCAAGGTCCAGAACGAAATGCTGCTGCTTCCAGATGTTTCTTCCCTTCCACCCATCCTCTCCTCGGGAGGTAGGGATGGCCAGCCAATATGCCCTTCTCTTCATCCTGGACCTTGTGAAGCCATTGGTTCCTTCTTCAGTGACAAAAATAGGGAGCATCTCTTCACAGGAGCAAGAAGGAGCAAGGAGCTAAGCATAGAACTGTCCTCCAGGGGTGGCTGGCTGGCCATCATGGTGCTGAGCCAGGGGTTGGATGAAGGAGAACCATCTAGCATCTTTCTTCTGATCACATCTTTGTTTTTAAAATGTTCCAACACTTATTGCGATGACTGGTATCATGAATTATAAATGCACAATAATAGGTCCCAAATGATTGTTGGGAGTATAGACTTCCCTATCCACTACTATCTTCATCTGGAACTTTGAAGTCAATGACACTGGGTTGGATTCTTAGCCATGTCACTCGGTTTTACTGGGACAAGTTGTTTAGCAGAGCCAGTGACTACCATCTCATTAATTGAGAATTAAATGAGACAATATACATAATGATACATATTTCTTAGAAAGCCACATAGGTGCATGCATGCCTGTTGTATGCATTTATACGTGTGTGTGTGTGTGTGTGTGTGTGTGTGTGTGTGTGTTTCTGTGGAGATCAGAGGTCGACATTAGGTACTTTCCTCTATTGATCTCCAACTTATTTTTTGGGCCACTTAACCTAGAGCTCACCCAACAGGGTTTCCTCCTGTCTATACCTGCCCAGCCCTGGGATGACAGTCAGGTGTTACCATAATTAGCCTTTTATGTGGGTGCTGGGGATCCAAAATCAGATCCTCAGGCTTGCTTAGAAAACACTTTACTGACTCATTGCCCCAGCTGCTACATATTTGATTTTATTGTTAAAACTATTGTTTTGTTTTTATTTCTGTGTTAGGTCCATGGTTGCATAAACAGAGCTCCACAGTCCTGCTGTCAAGGAGTTCTGAGTAGTAGTTGTGCAGGGAATACTTATAGTTTCCATAGTAGGGGATCCTACTTCATAGGTTAGGGTTTGATTTTGGGGCTAATGGTTAGTGCAGGAGCCAGTTGGGTGAAGAAAGCTTGAGAATAGTCTAAGAAGGAGCGATGGTGGGTGCAAATTCTCAGAGACTGATAAGCACGTGAACTCTAAATCTAGAGCTATGAGTCAGAGTGTGGCTGGGGAGATGGGGACACATGGAAGGTATGACAAATGAAAAGGAGTGGGTGTAAAGTAGACTTGCTCAAAACTTACAGATCACACTAATCCACAGTGAGCCACAGGACAAATTTACTTATTTATTTAACATAAGCTATCGAAAATTCAGTGCTTCCTATATATGCGGTCTAGAAATCAAATATACATAAATTATGCCTTAATTTATATTTCACAGATGTTCTGCAAAGTTGGTCTGAAGATGTTCAGAGTACAGGTGAGGATACCAAGATGAATCCACTTGTGGAAGATGGCACAACATATGGTAGAGCTGGGATTTCTTTGTAGAGTATTCTGATATCAAAACCTATCACCACTATTTCGTGGTTCATCCTTGGTGTGTCAATCAGCACCTTCAAGACCGTAAACATCTTAAATAGCATCTTAAAGCTAGGAAAGCATGGCTTATAAATTAGAGCAAGTCTGGGAAAGCCATGAAGTGACTGGTGCTGTGGAATATTTGTTTAAATACGCAAAGATGTGTTACATTTCGTTTAGGCTACATTTTGTTTAACTGTGCAAAGATGCATTGCATTTGTTTTACCTTGCCTGACTAAGGCACCTGATTGGTCTAATGAAACGCTGAACGGCCAGGCAGTAGAGGGATAGGTGGGGCTGGCAGGCAGAAAGAATAAGTAGGCCGAATCTAGTCTTGAGAGGGAACAAGGGAGAAAGAGGAAGATGCCAGGGGCCAGCCAGCCAGCCATGCAGTTGCCAGCCAGCCAGACACAGAGGAAGCAGGAAAGTAGGACATACAAAATGAAAGAAAGGAAAAAAAAAAACCCTGAGGCAAAACATACTTGAAGAGAAACAGGTTGATACTAAGTCATAAGAGCTAAACTAAGTCATAATCCTAAACTAAGGCCAAACATTCCTAAGTAGTAATAAGTCTCCATGTCATGATTTGGGAGCTAGTGGTCCAAGAAAGCCTACTACAGACTGAGATGGACCAGGCACTTGGGTAGTAAGCTTTGTCTGCTAAAGTAACAGGTCACAGCTTGATAAGTAGTTGGCAGCAGTGAAAACAAGTTTTGGCTGAAGTGTCAGGTGTTCCAGAGTGTGGGCACAGGCATTTGAAGGACCCTAGAGGTAGTTATAAATCCTGGGGAATCAGTAAGGGTCTTCAGGAGCCACACGCCTAAGAGTCTATGTGGGTTTGACATAAAGCCACATCTCCACTAAGGACCCAGCTCCTGGACTTCCTGAGTCTTTCGTGCCTCTCCTATCTTCTCCCTTGACTCACAGTAATGAGCTCCGCTCTTTCTCTTACACTCCTCCCACCCCCTCTGAAGAACTTTCCTTGGTCCCTCAGATGATGTGTGTAACTTTGTCCCTGTTGTGATTTGGAGGTGAAATGACTCAAATAAGCTCATGTGTTTGGACATTTGGTCCCTACTAGGCACTACTGTTTTGGAAGGTGGTGAAATCTTTAATAGGCACATCAACAGAGGAAGTAGGTTAGTGGGAACAAAACTGACAATTTTATAGTCTGACCTCACTTGCTGTCAGTTCTCTGGTTCCTGACTACAGATGCAATGTGACCTAGTACTCCTGTGACCAGGACTTCCCTGCCATGACAGATTGTATTGCTTCAGAGATAAGCCAGCATGATCCCTGCCCACCACACACACACACACACACACACACACACACACACACACCCTGCCCCCCACACACACACACACACACACACACACACACACACACACACACACAGGTATTTAGTCTTAGAAACAAACAAAAAAGGTGACTAGAAAAGTCCCCAAGAATCTTGTGTGCATCTCCCTAGGTGCCCCCACCAGCTTGCCTGGCCTGGCCCTTAGAGACACATTCAGACAAACCCAGGTGATAGGTGGTGACAAAGCAACCAGAAAAAGTACAGAGAATGGACAGAAGGATGGTGAGAGAATGTGATCAGAAGAGGAATTTGTAGAAATGGTTATGAGCAGAGAACCTTCTCTGGGAGGTACGTTGACCTACATAAGGGTTACCTGCCCCAAGATTTCCCTTTCCCAGAAAAACGACAGAGGACAGGTCGAGAGTACTTCGGGTCAAGCTAACAGCCTGATGGTGACTCCCGTACACAGTCTTAATGTTTGATTTTGGGAAGGTTCAGCCTCTACCTCTATCCCTCAACATTTGGGTGACCTATTTGCTTATAAAAATATATAAAGCCTTTTCATTAATTAATAAAAAAGGGGGATATGTAGGAAGCCGGTTCCTGCATTATAATGGTGCCTGAAGACACCAAGATGTAAATTACTTCACAGGCGCTGGGTAATCTCCATTCCTTTGATCTCTGCCTATCCCGTGGCTCATTTTTGCCTGAGGAGCTGAAGCCATTCTTAGGGTAACACGTCCCAGGCGGCTGGTCAGCCTTTATATAGGGATGGTTTTCTTGGTTTAGTATCTCCGCTCAGTCTCCACTCTGGTAAGATGCATTAAAGCTTGTCTGCAGAAGGATCCGAGTGTCCCATGTATGATTTCTTGCTGGCGAGAAATACAGAGCATGCACGGGACAGAACTGTATTTACATCCCAGTCTAATGACAGAAAACATATAGAGGTGTCCTGGCTGCCTGGGAACAAGGGACTCTAGTCAGTAGGGAAGAGCTGCCTGGGGTGGGTGGGGGGCAGTTCATTAGGAACACAAAAGTCCTTGCTTCAATGCCAAGCCCCAAAAAGAATCAACTTTTTTTTAATAAGCAACTTTTGTATAGTAAATTTATATTGTCGTGAATTTATTTTTGATTCCCCAGACTACAATAAATCCCTGGGAGAGTTAATCAGGCAAGAACCCACTGTGCCAAATCATCTGGGCAAAAGCCTTTAGAAAGTGTCCAAGAGATCCAGGCTGGGCAAGGCAGGACAGTTCTGATGACAGACACAAAGAGGGGATAACAAGAAGGGCACAACACACCATTCAACTCCCATGCTGCCCCTGCATGCTCTGTTGCACTTGGTCCTGGGCAGTGCCCCTCTCACAGGCCAGGAAGCAGAATTCTTGAAAGTCCCAGCCAAGGTGGTATCAGTGGTAAGAGGCAGAGTATTCCCTGGGGTCAGGTGTGTCCTGCTCTGAGTGTCATACTTCCATCCACTAAATGGTCGGAGCTACATAACATTCCTGTGGTGATTTGAATGAAGTGGCCCCCCCATACCTCATAGGGAGAGGCACTATTAGGAGGTGTGGCCTTGTTGGGGTAGGTGTGGCCTTGTTGGAGGAAGTGTGTCACTGGGGTGGAATTTGAGGTTTCAGAGGCTTAAACTGGGCCCAGTGTCTCTCTTTCTTCCTGCTGCCTGAGGATCCAGATTCAGATGTACAACTCTTGGCTCCTTCTCCAGCACCATGTCTGTTTGCAAACGGCCATGCTTCCTGCCATAATGACAATGGTTTGAACCTCGGAACTGTAAGCCACCCCCAATGCAATGTTTTCCTTTCTAAGAGTTGCCATGGTCATAGTGTCTCTTCACAGCAATAGAAACCCTGACTAAGACAATTCCTATTTCTGTGTTCTTTCGTATTTCCCTGGGGTGTTTATATTTTAATGATGAGCTCTTGAAAGGAGAAAACCCATCATAACTCAAATGGTAAAGCTCTGGCTTCTTAATAGAATTTTGGGATAATGCTTTCTTTTCAGAGGTGCCTAATACATTAGCTACTAGCCACGCATGGCTCTTGAACATTTGAAATGTGGTTAGTCTGAATGGATATGAGCCACAAGTGGGAAATACAAGCCAGAGTTTGAAGACTTGCATAAAGAAATCATGTCAAATAGCTCATTCATAATTTTGGTAAATACCATATGAGAAAAGAATAACAATTTGGATATAATGTGTTAAATAAAATATCTTACTAGAATTAAATTTATCTGTTCTTCCTGTATTTCTACAACAGCGGAAGAAATCTTGATTCCAAAACATGGCTCATATTTGTAGCTTGGTCCATATTTTTAAATTTTATTTTGTTTTGAGGCTTTCATGTATGAGTACATTGCTCCGTCACCGTAGTCTCCTTCTAACTCCTCCCATGTCCCCTCGCCATCCCTGTCTCAAATTTATGTTCTCGCTTACTAAGTTCTCTTAGTGTTGCCTGTATGTACTTTACTATAGGGTTGATGTTTTGGGGCACAGACAACTTATCAAACGGCTTGTTCATGAAGAAAACTGACTATCCTTTCCTTTGTAGCCACTGACTGCCTGTACGGTTCAACTAGGGGTGGGGTTTTGTGAGCCCTCCCTCTTCCATATAGGAAGGCTGGCTGGTGTGGTCTTGTGCAGGCAATCATGTCACTGAAAATTCATGGGTGTGTGTTTCTGTCATGTCTGGAAGACACTATTTCTCAGCAGTCCACCTTGTTCTCTGGCTCTTATGATCTCTCTGGTCCCACTTCCTTGGTGTTCCCTGAGCCTTGGGTGTGGGGGTTGTGTTGTAAATGTCCCATTTGGGGATGTGCACTCCACAGTCACTTATTCTTTACAGTCCATTCTCTGTAATGGCCTCAGTCTGCTTGAAAGAAAAAAACAGCTTCTTTGATGGGGGGTTGAGAACTGCACTCACGAAAGAAGCCTGAGAGTGCTTGGCTTATATTTTTCATAAACATATTACTCTTGACAACATTTGTATATTCCCCATTTCTTTCATTCAAAACATATTTATTAAATGTGACTACTCTTTACTGAAGATTTATTATGTTCCAGGAACCTACATAGTTAATAAAATTGCTAATGTATCATTATACACATTTCACAGATGAATATGAGAATCAGGCTGATTAAACTCAATGTCCACCACCCTTGAAAAGCAAAGCACAGTGCATGAGTACAGATATGAGCTCTGGCTTGGATTCTGCTGTCATTGTATACGGTGACCTGGTGCCCAAGAATTAACCTCTCCACATCTTTGCTTCCTATTATATACCAGAGATCACACCATAATTTGCTTAGACTAGGTAAGAGGATTTAGAAACTTTATACATGCTAAATACTGTGAACAGTACCTAACACATAAAAAGAAATGACTATTGGCTGTGTGTTGCCTACCAGTGGTGAGCACCATAAGCCCATCCAGCTTTCCCCAATGCTCTCCTCACAAGCCCGCAGGCCTTGCGTGTATCAGCTACCCATTCTGCTACTACAGTCTTCAAAGCATGCCTAGGAGATAGATTTACCCTTAACTGGTGTGCAGCTCATAGAGAAGGTAAGTATTGTTTGTAAAAATGACACTAAAATGGGGGTAAGAAGAGGATACACAATCACCCAAAAATGACTTCATGGGTGATGCAGAGAAAAAATTGCTCAGAAGCTAAAGGGAGGTCAATCTCAAGTGGAGGTGACAAGATGAGGGTTGTTGGAGGAGGTATCTGGGAATGATCTTAACATGAATAATGGCAAGCAAAGATGCAACTTTGGAGTGAAGGCTTGAGTGTGAGAGAGGGAAGGCAGGCTTGGGGAGGAATCATGAATGTTCTGCTTGGGTGTGGATATGTGGCAAGCCACATGAGGAAGGAGGCTGGTTCATCAGGGTGGGGCTGGCGTCCTGGTAGGCCAGAAATGGCAGACTTCAGAGTTTGTTCATCACGCACTGAGGAGTGCTGTGGACCACTAGGCAGATGGTATCTACATAAACACCGCCAGGCTGGAGAATAGCTAAGAGCAGGAGCCTGAATTCATCCATCTCCCTCGCCAAGAAGTTATGTGTCTTCCACTCTAGAAAGGACACATTTTTTCCCTGGTGTCACTCTTGTCACCACTTTCTCCTTTACCAGGCTCACCAACCACTAACACCACATAGTGTCCCCTTCCCCATTCTTGGGGTTGTAGTTTCTCTCTTTGAACTCTCAGGTAAAAGGTTTCTTTCTTTAAAAGCTATAGGGGCTGGTGAGATAGCTCAGTGGGTAAAGATGCTAAGTTTGGTGACCTAGGTTCAATACTTAGCACCTATGTATTGAAAGAACAAGACCAACTCTTGCAAGTTCTTTTGGTCTCCACATTTGCTCCATGACATGGTGTACCCACACATATACATACCCACATGCATACAAAAGGAATGGAAAATGTGAATGGACAAATAAATATTCCAATTCTGTGCAGAGCTCCATGAACAGGCATCTCCCTGCCCTCCAATGACCATAAATGAGGGTTCTGTCCCCAGTGGCACAGGCTGGCACTGTTCACAAGTGCCTTGATGTCTCATTGTCATGGCAGGAAGAGATTCAGGGTCATCTCCCATTCTCAATGACAGTGTCTTCTGTGACCTCAGCACCCAGCCCTGCCTCCACGGGACTGAACAGAAGCATGGTGCCTCTTCTGTCATCTCCTGAGGAGCTTGGCTCTCTTAGATTGAGTTACTCAACTGCTCCTAACTTTGCCGTCATCATTCCCTTCTGCAGCCTATTATAACTCTATCCCTGACTAATGTAGCTGAACATACTGCTCCCACCCTGCTCTTCTGCCAGCAGCATCTGTAAAAAAAAAAAAAAATCAGCTTTGTCAGGCAGCCTTCGCTCCCCCCTCCCCTTGCCATGGCTCCCTCTCCCCTCTTCTCTCAAGAGTCTATTAGTAACCGTCCTCTGCAAATAGGCCAGAAAGCTCCCCATGCCCTTGAGCTGTCCTTAGCCCAGGATCCAGGATTCTGGCTGGCCACTTGTCTCTGGACCTGGCAGGTGGCAGGGTCCTTCTCTCAACCAGCTGCCCTCTCCATCAGCCCATATGGACAGACAATATGCTTTCCATAGAAGCCCTGGTAGGTCCCACACATCCCGGCACAGCCAAGTCCCAGCCCTGCCTGACTGCTTTATGTGAGAAGCAGGAACAAATCAGACAGTTTGTTGACATGATCCACACAGGCAGTTGAGGGATGGGATCCAGGTTGAATGTATTTGGATGGTTGTTAAGTATGCTTTTCTTCAGTGGCCTTGATTTCATGCCTCTGTGTGTATAATGATCACACATGCATGTGTGTGTGTGCGCCTGCCTGTACACACACACACACACACACACACACACCATGTGGCCACATAGAAACAGAGCCACTAGATTTCAAAGCAGGCAGGCAGTGGGCTTGTTTGTACATTTGACTCCTACACTCTGCCTGTTCTCTCTGATTTCATGGAATTCTGTGCTAGTGAATTCTGGAGATGTTTCACCTCAATCATGGACCATGAGGGAAGAGGCTTGTCAAGCTGCATAGGGTAGGGGTGTTTTGCAAATGTTAGAGAGTAAACAGTGTGAAAATTGTGCTTCCTTCCTCAGAGTATTTTTTTCTTTTCTGTTCTTTTTTAAAAAATCTATCTCATCTAGAGCTAGAGGCTGACTAATGTCCACAGCAGGAAATAGGAACAAGCAAATTTGTCAATTAGAATCCTGTTTGTACTTCTGAGGGCTGGGTCAATTATTCCACTAATTAGTTCATTCATTCATTCATTGATTTCTTCACTTATTTGTTCATCCAACATCAATTTTTTAAAATAATTTTTCTGATTATAATAACAATGCATATTTATTGCAGAATTGTGGAAGATTTGTTAAAGTATAGAGAGAGGAGTCTATGAGAATCACTTTCTTTTCTTTCCACCTAAAGTCAGTGACTGTCTAATACTTGGGTATGTCATCTTTTATCATGAGCTCCTAGCTAAGGCTGAACCCCTCAGGCTATCTTGCTCCCTGCTTCTGAACAAGAGTCTGCACCTGGTCACCTCTCTTCCAAGCAAACCAACCTTCACCAAGCAGAAAAGAAAAATGAAGATTTTACTCAAGTTTTCAGGACAAGGCAGAAGAAAAGTATACATACATGACACACAGCAAAACTTGTTAAAATGCCTCCATTAGACATCTGGGTTCAAGGCCATGCCTCTAACTCCAGTAACTGCCAACTGGTTTCTGTCCTCATCTACATCACTCCTCAGTCCTGTGTTATCCCCAGCTCTAGGCTCTCTCCTCATAGACACACATGCAGCCCTCCACTTAGAGAACAACAGATCCATCTTAGCATTCTTTATCTTCTTAACTCAAAAGGGGGAATTGCAAGAAATGTTCCTATTTCCTTGAAATGAATAATTTTGTTCTGTCTTTCAGCCCTGTATGCATGTATGCACATATGTACTCACACACAGGGATCAGGCATACATTTTATAAATATTAGGCACATTATATTTGTTATATTTTAGAACTAATGCTTTTTCTCCCACATATTTTTCTCTGATAATTAAATGTTCTTTCAAAACACGCTTTTCATAATTATCTAGTATTTCACCCGTGCAATGTTTACAACCTATCTGATTAGTACTCTGTTGTTAGAAGTCTAGATTTTATGTGCCTCTGCATTCACTCTCTCCCTCTCCCTCTCTTTCTCTCTGTCTCTCTCACTCAAGCATACCTACCTATCTCATCTATTTACATGGCAGTGATAAACCGTCTACAAATCCCTAGTTATCGTCTTCTTTGTGAGCACTCCCAGCCTTCTTCTGAGGATAAACATGTAAACTTGGAGTTTTCCACTGAAAACTCAATAAACATTTTGAAATGTGTTATAAATTGCCACCTAGAAAAAGTCTTAATTGAATATACATATATATTCAAGATAGAGACACAGGCAAGGACTTTCTGAAAAGGACTCCAATGGCACAGACAATAATCACAAGAATGAACTAATAGAATTACATGGAATTAAAAGGCTTTTGCACTGCAAAGGAAAGAACCAGCAGAGGGAAGAAACAGCTCCAGAGTAGGAGAAACTCTATTTCACAACTACACATCAGATAGGTAGGGCACATCTAAAATGTATAAAGAACTGCAGAAATTAAGCAACAAAAAACTGTCTAATCAATAAATAGACCAATGGACTGAATAGACAAATCTCAAAAGAAGAATCATAAACAGGCAATAAATACTTGGAAACATGTTTGAAAACCTTAGTTCATCGGGGGAAATGCAAATTAAGACTACTTTCAGATTCTATCCCACAATAGGGAGAGGGGCCAGCATCAAGAAAGTAAATGACAAGTGGTGACAAGGATAGGGAAGGAGGGGGGAATCTTTCTATGCTGCTGGAGTGTGAACTGTGCAGCCACTGTGGAAATGGGCATAGAAATTCTTTTAAAACAAAACAAACAAACAAAAAACCGGAGATGAGAACCTCCATAAGACCTGGCGACACCACTCCTGTGTATGGACTTAATGGCCTCTAAATCAGCATGTCGCAGAGACACTTGCACAGCCATGTTTGTTTTTTTCTACTCACAATAGCCAGAAAACAGAACCAGATAGAATACTGGTAGCAGATAAATGGATGAAGAAAATGTGGCACAAGTACACAATGGAGTTTTATACAGCTGCAAAGAGAAGCAAAATCATTACATTTGCAGGAAAGCAGATGAAATAAGCCAAACACTGAAAGACAAGTGCTGCCTGTTTTCTCTCATCTGCCTAACATATATTTAAGTTTATATATAGGAGTGTGTATCTGTGTGTGCATATTTTAAAAAGTTATTGATCGTTTACTCAATGCTAGGCATTATTAGCTGCTAAGGATTTAAAACTATGTAAAATGTATTTTTTTGTTGTTGTTGCTATCGGAGAACTTATAATTGAGCATTTGCTTTAGCTAAATGGTGGGCTCCTGCTCTCCTCCCCAAATCTCTATTTGGATTTGTATTTAATAATATGTTGGATGAAATACTGTCTCTGCCTCTAAATATATTTTTCATCTGCATCTATGACACACACAGAAGACCTTTCTAATTCTTGAAGCCAACCTCCAACATCTCTGCTATGTGCTAGTTTACAAAACACATAGGCATATGAAATGCTTCTATTTTTATCTTCAGCTTGTATATTTGGAAGAACGGAATAAGTACTTACAGATTGCAATATATATTAATTTGGTCTTAAAGGGGAAATGACCACTTTGTTCACACCCATGCTGGATCATATAGGAAATCCTAAATTCTGGTTCTGCAGGGCTCATCTACCTGCAGCATGTGTTAACTTTATCTTTGTGTTTGGGCTTTCTCTGCTGCCTCTCTCTACCATCAGCTTTTGTGTTCCTCTAGACACTTCTCCCACAAGATCATAAGTTAATTGCCTGTGAGTGTTTCTTAGCATTCTCACTACAGTGAAATAGTGTCCGCACTGAGCAAGGACTATATATTATAATGATGTGGTGGTCATAATATTTGCATTTTATTTGTTTGATTTTGCCATATGTGGGGTCAAACCCAGGGCCTCATCCACACTAAAGAAGAGCTTTACATTGACTTTAAACCATGATCCTCCTGCATCAACCTCCCCAGTAGCTCACATTAAAGACCTACGCTGCTGTGTTGGCTAGATAGCTTTTTTTTATTCATTATTTATTTTTATATACAGTTTGATGTAGTCCAGGTTGACCTTAAATTGGCTTTGTATTCAAGGATGATCTTGAATTCCTGATTCCCCTGTTTTAACCTTCTGAATGCTGAAGTTACAGGTATGCACCACCACCAATTTTTCTCCTGGGTTAAGCATTAAACCCAGGGCTTTGTGTATACTAGGTAAGCACTCTACCCCTGAGCCACATACCCAGTTTCTCTGTTGCTTTTATTTTTCTATTTGTAGGAGCTTTGACATCTCTGACTCAATGATGCCAGCCTTGGCCGTATGATAGTCAATGAAATGTCAATGGCATTAGTTACATCCAAGCATAAGCTTTAAGAGCCAGCCCTCAGCTATGTAATGTCTCTTCTTTTGCCTCAACACTAACACATCCCTGACCAGAGCTGCTGTTTCAGTGTGGGTCAAGGAATAAAGATGAATACAACATCTGCGAAGCGTAAGTAAGAAATAAGTTTATGGGGTGGAAGCCATTAAGGTTTTCAGATCATCTGCTGCTGCAGCACAATGCAGCCTGAGATGACTGTCCTGTACACTAAAAGCAGTATGGCACTGTATGAGATGAGGTCCCTGTTCTCTCCTTAATCCAATTCATTTGTTTACATTTGTAACATGTGACTTTACTTTCATAGTATCAGCACATTGGATGACAGTGTAATGTTTGGAGGGTCAAGTAGGAGAAATGTCTTATATCTCTTCGCCATTTTTTTCTTTTTCCAAACACTGAGATAGCATTTCATGATGATCATCAAATTTCTAGCTCTAATCTGTGGTATCAACCAATTACCAATTGACTTCGAACTAAAATGCAAGAAGAAATTGCCATCTAATTCAATCACATGAAAGAAAGAAAGAAAGAAAGAAAGAAAGAAAGAAAGAAAGAAAGAAAGAATCTTGACTTGACTGTGGTCTTTCAAGATTACTCACCAGGTAAAGGAGCTTGTTTCAAGTCAGATGTCCCGAGTTTGATTCCAGGGATCCACAGGATGGAGTGAGAGAAGTGACTCCCCCAAGTTGTCCTTTGACCTCTATGCACACACCTGTACTTATATGCATACATCAATCAATCATTCAATCAATGCAATAAAAAATCTATCTACCAGATCCCTAGATTTTCATGCTATTTTTAACTATCCTTTTCACAGAAGAAATAACTGTATTGTCTTTATGCTTGTATTCTATCTACTTGGTCTTTCCTTGAGAACAATGGGGAATATTTTGTTCAATATATAATGTATATTATGGCAACAGAGTCATTTATTTCCCCAACCATTCATTTACTGATTCAATGACTATTTACTGAGTAGATTGACAGATAAAGTTGTCAATCTAGGGAATCCTGTGGTGAGCTAACAGACATGGCCTTTGACCTCATGGAAGAGACAAACACTAAACAAGCAAGAAACAGAAAAGCAAAAAGGAATTTAAATGTTGTGAAAGAGAGACCCAAGTTGAAATACTAAGTGATAATGGTGGGTTTGTAGGTTCAGAGTTAGAAAGGGCTGTTAGGGAAGACTGAGGCTTGGTTTAGGAGCCAACTTCAGAAGAAATGCTTCATAGCTCTAAGAAAACAGAAGGCCAAAATCTCCAGGACCAATAAGATTTAGATTGGTTCCTTGTTTGAGGAGCTGAAAGCCATGGCATTATAATAGACAGACTCAGGGAGGAGCAGTTAAAAATGAAGTGCCTTTGGTTGTGAAGAAGCATGTCTGGGACAGCAAGCATAAGGGATAGTTTAGCAGCCCCAGACTCCAGCTGGTTTAGGGTACACACACCCTCTTTCTCCACGCGCCCCCCCCCACACTGCTCTTCTAAATGCACTTGTCAGCCTGTGAGCGGTTGTGAAGAAGCATGTCTGGGACAGCAAGCATAAGGGATAGTTTAGCAACCCCAGACTCCAGCTGGTTTAGGGTACACACACCCTCTTTCTCCACGCCCCCCCACACTGCTCTTCTAAATGCACTTGTCAGCCTGTGAGTCTTACCTGCATGCACTGTGCATACATAATACATACATAATACACACATGCATATCTCCAGATAATGCATTTCACAACCTGTTAGGAACATAGGACTCCACCTGCATCGAGCATGAACAATGGAACAGGTTTCTCTTCCGCTTAACAACCTCCAGTAACAACACTTCTAGGATGTGTCAAGGAATGTGAAGGCCACTAATGGGTCTCCCATGGGAGAACAGCCAGGTCCTGTGTGTGCTTTTTAAGACTATTTTTCTTAGGGATGATATGGATGAATTTGGAGGAGAGCAAACTGCCAGAGTCATGCACAGAAAATATGATCACAGACCAGATGGATGAGACAACAGTGATTGGGGAAGGAGAGGGCAGATTTGGCTAGGTTTCAGAACAAGCAATTCTGACATGGCTACCAGAGGAATTGTGGAGAGAGGAGAGCAAGGTGAGCTTCATGTTTCTGCTTTATGTAAATAAGCCATTTACCAATATGCAATCCACTGAGAAAGAAACAGCCTTACAGTGGGAGGAGGTAAGAATTCTCTGTTGGGTATGTTAAGGATGAAGGGTCTGGAAGATAGGTAGAAGGAAACGTTGTTGAGTGGGCAGCAAGAGACACGAGCCTGTAATAGAGGGAAAAAAGCTTTGAGCTTAAATTAAAAGCTTGGAGTTGTCAGCATATAGATGTTACATAAAGCCAGGGAATAGGTGAGATACAGTAGGGGGAAGACACTGGGTGAATGAATGAGTGAATGAGGGAGGGGGGTTGATGGCTCCCTTGTGAATGTGATGATCCTAGAGCAGCTGGCTGGGCAGTACAGATGGAGGGGAGAATGGGTGCTGCTTGGGTTCGTGAGCTGGCGACACCTGCTCCTCGTAAAGCCAGAGTGCCAGAAGGTATTCTCAAATGAGAACTGAGCTGTGGGAGGATTGTAGCTCAAGAGAGTATGTAGGGCTCATCAGCCTTCCTCGTGGGAGGATGAACTGTTAGAATGGATACTGAGATGGTTGGTTGGGCAGCCCACAAAGAGTGGGAAGAGAACTACTTGCTGCCTGGGACTTGAGTAGAGTTGAGGTGGGTGGAGGATAAGCATCTGAGAAGGGATTTAGGAAGGGATGAGAAGGGATGATGGGAAATGCTGCAATATAGGGACAAGAGAATTTAGTAGACCATGGGAAGGCTGATTTAGAAGTTCACAGCCATCGAAGTCAATGAAGCAGCAAATGAGTAGGAGGTCATTGACTCTGCCCATCATAGTTGGATTTCCCAGGAAAAGGCTGAGGTAGTACAAGGAATGACTTCCAGAAAGGTGAGAGAAGTGGCAGCAGAGGATGGTGAGGGCCTCACTGCAGATGGGAAAGAGATAACTTGAGGGAAAAGAAGGTTGGAGAAAGATATTGTTGAGACATCTTTTGAGCCTGGGTATGCCGATCACGGAGAACACAATCATATATAGTAACTACTGTCCCCAGACCT